GGGTTAGTTAGCGTGCAGGTGGGCCGAGGGATGTGGGTTTATTCAGAAGGAAGTTGGAAGAGATAAGCCTTGTTGTTAGCTAGTGTGTAGGCTGCAGCCTCTGGGGGTTTTCTGACGACATCTGTCATGCCACTGCTGCAGGCGTTAGCTTCAGATGTGAACTAATCCATCTCTGACGGGCTTGTGTCTCTTAAGGGTCTTGTTCTTGTCACTTTTATGAGGCGGTTCAAGTCTGGTGAATACTTTCATCAAGCTTGCCAATTACCAAACACTGACACAAATTGAAATCTATAACTCACCCTCTGCATTACCATCTCTGTGTAATAAGATGTGCAATTTTCAAATGTATTACAGTCATACACACCAGCTCACGAATATCAAACTAAAGGGAATGTGTGACTCACTGAAGCAGGAAGTAGTTGACACAAATAAATCAGCCTTCACAGTGTAAAACTTCTGCTTTTTGCAGCTTAAGCAGACGGTTATAAAGACACGCTTATTCTCTCTCTCACCGTCCTTATCTAATCATCACAGACAGTACAGGCCTCTCACACCAAGCTCAACTGAATTACTTTTCTGTTTACAAAAAGGGAAGTGTGCTTTTTTTTTTTAATCAATCAAATCAATCAAACTTTATTTATATAGCACCTTTCAGACAAATTAAATTGCAGTTCAAAGTGCTTAACAAGAGTGCAGAAAAGTTATTGACGAAAAAGTAGTTTATAAAATCATTGAGAGACTAATGTGCAAGATCATTTCATTTCATGTTAAGCACAGATAGAAAGAAAGAAAGAGACACCTGAACCTCCTCCTCTGCTCTGTGGAGACATTTATCAAAAAGCATAGAATAGCAGAGTCTCATCAGTGTAACAGCACACACTTTTTCTTGTTCGTTGTTTGGAATTTATTGTACACCGTTGCTGTAGTTGTTGTACACAAGTTGCAGTAGCTGTCGTACACCAGTTGTCAAAGTGAGACTACATAACTGTCATTATGAAGGAGCAATTGCATGCACAAAAAGTAAGCTCAATAAAAAATGCAAACTGCAAAATGTCCTTCAATATTAAAAATCAGCCTGCAGTTTGTGACCAACTCATGTCTTCATCACGACCATTGTCAGCTCTGGCATTCAGCCCTATGCTGAGTTACATTAATTAATAAACAAGTAAGTGATACTACATCAATAGAAAAGTGGTTGGAAATAAGCACAAGCTATAAAGTCAGTACAACCAATCAGAAGAGGAGAATAAAGAGGGGGGGAGTAGGAATAAGCTAAATGGGACATATATGCTTACCAATACAAGGAAACTGACTTTGATAAACTGTACTCTGCATGTACAAAAATATTACATTAAATATTAACAATAAACAAATAAACAAAGACAAGACAAGAGAAGGAACTAACCTAAAATAAATATATATAAAAAAAGAAAAGTATAGAGATAAAATCTATGTGTATAATAGATAAATTAGCAAGAACACTCAAAAGGTTATCTGGGTCAGAAAATTGCCTTGAAGGTTTTTCCAGTCAGTCATTGGGTGTGTGTTTTTATTTTTTTGTGTTTGCATCCATTTCACCTCATATCTTTCCTCCTGCTATCTTACCTCTGCGTCTGTAAAGTAATTTAATTTCCTCTCTTGTGTTGTGTATTAATTTATGTACTCCCCCACACTCCTTATCAGACTAGCCTCGGTCGTCAGAGCTACAAAACTCCAGAGAATTCACACAACTCACTTCTCCTTTTGACAGTGTGGGCCAATGGTCTCTTGATTTAAATCTTTAAGCATTCAGTTGTTTTTTTTCAAGATGAAGTTGGAGAGGAGGTGACTGAGAGGAGATTTGTGATTAACACTTAATACTCATTACCACAAGAAAAATGTATGGTCAGAAATGAGTCAGAGCGCCGGTAGAGTAGTGGTTAGTGCGCACGGCCCATGTACGGAGGATATAGTCCTCAAACTGGAGGCCCAGGTTTGAATCCCACCTGTTGCTCCTTTCCTGCATGTAATTTCTCTCTTTCGCTCTCTCTCTCTCTCTCTCTCTCTCTCTCTCGCTCTCTCTCTCTCTCTCTCTCTCTCTCAGATTTCTGACTCTTTTTCACTGTCCTATCTCTCCAATTAAAGGCACAAAAATAAATCTTAAAAGGAAACAAATATATCACAGGAGTCATTTTCTACTCATTCATTTTTGATAAACCGGTCTGAAACAGGACCACAAACTTTGCTTAAATCACTTAAAAGGAAAGGTATAAATCTAACTGACATAAAGGATGAGAAAGGCAGGATGCTGATGTTGTTTGCATTTTCCAAAGTGACTTTAATCTGCCTTTCAATCTGCCCTCCACTTCTCCTTCTTCACATTTCCATCCTGTTGGTTTATATTTGTGTTTGTGCTCCTCTCTGTATTACCGTCTGACTCACTCTCACTCCGGCTCTCAGATACCGTACTTGAAACCTCTAGAGATTGCTCTTGAGCTCATCCTCTATGCAAATCCTCAAACAGAAGAATTCTTGCTGGCATGCATACCTCAACTACTGAAGGTGTATATGGTGAGCATTCACAGATGGAATATTTGAAGAAAGGTGCAAGAGGCAGACGTTGTTATGAAAAGGAAGTGTAACCGCAGGTTTCCACCATCTACAGGCAGTCGGGCACATGGTGACAAAATAGCAAAAAAGCCAGTCATTTTATATTTCTTTTACTGAAAAGAGACAAACTCTGGATCATCATTAAAGATGACAGAAAGAACTACACAAGGTTTACATTTTGCGATCTCTTCATTCACCTGTGCATGTTATTTATTATTAATGACAGTTTTATGTATCATTGACAGTCCCTTCATTATTGTGTGTAACTTTAATATTATAGTGTTACAGTAATGGATGCTGTTGTTGGTTGTCATTTTCCAGAAGGGTTGGGACTGTGTAAAAAATCATTTAGCTAATTGATACTAAGTGAAACTCCAGACTAGTGTACTTCCTTATATTCAGAGCACCTTCATCACAACCATTATCAGAGCTCGCTGAGCCATAGGTTTAAAAAAAAGGTTGTGTTTCAGGGAGTCCCTGCTTTCATATTGCTCATTCAATCAATAAATCAAACATTATTTGCATAGTCCCAAATCATAACAAACGTTATCTGGAGACGCTTTACAAAAGAGCATATGGGATAACATGCAGGAAGGATTTCTCCTTTGTATTCCTCGCGTTCCTGTTGTCCAACTTCCTTGCCGCTGAGGTGGTGTTGACGTGGTGCATCATTGTGTTGCACTCGGGCCATGATGCAGTTAACACAGGTTGTTCATGTAAGCTACTTCTTAAGGGTCCTCCAACTGTGAAATGGCATATTCATAGTGTGGTGCCTTTGTTTAGTTCAGGCACCATAAAAAGAGACTATAACCCTCATTGCACTTGTCACAGGTTTGATTCTTCATCCTGAGGCTATTTGGTGCATATCATCCCGCACGAATAAAGACAAAATCCCCCCAAAATAACCTAAAAAACTACATTTTCATCTGGTTTGAATGATAATTAACCAGTTTAAGCTTGTATACTTCTCTAAACATGAGTGAACAATTTACTGCTCCTCACATTGATGCTGTAACATTTACAATATAGGAATTGAGTTGAGTTGGCAATCAGTCATTTGAAAATGTGACACTCTTGTGTGTAAGCCCTGTGTCAAGGTTATACTTGACCATTTAAAAATGAATGGACTGCATCTCCCTATAAGCCTCACAAGGATAAATAGTAATCAAAACTTTAGAATGAATTTGTTCTTTTCTTTACCTATTTCACTTCTTTTTGTCATGAACATCGTGTCGAATCCTTCTCGACATCTTTTAAAACCTCATAAAATGACTTTTCTGGGGGCGGAATATTAATGTGATAAACAGCAGTTAAATTGTCAGAGCATTTTAACATTTCAGCATGGCAGATGTCTCATTTTCATTTCAAAACACTCCAGTGTAGCCTCACATTGTGCCCATGCTCTTTGGTACAAACATGCATCTGTCTCCTGGAACAAAGGAGGGATTTAATGACTTTAATGTTCAAAAATTAAACTCACATTTAATAACAAACACCAGCTGAAATGCCTGTGACAGACTTTCAAAACAAGACTTTTGCTCTAAGACCTCCAGTTTTCTGATTCTATCTGACCTCCTACTGTGACAACTTCATCCTATTTTTGTACTTTCTACTTCTCTCGATGTTTATCTCAGTTTCTCTCTCTGTGTCTTTACTCGCACAGTGCTGCTACATTCACACCAATTAGATCTGATGGAGAAAACTGCTGTCGCTGAAAGCAGCTAGATTGGAGGATGGTTCTCATGGAAACATTTCTCCTTCCTCCCCACCCTGTAATCACACCCAAGTTTAACGAGGAAAATACTCTCTGTCCCTCTCTGTCTTTGTTTGTCTGTCTCTGTGGATGGGCGTGAGATATGGCTGCATTTCTCGTTTTGTCTATGATCCAGGGAACAACCCACACAGTGGGCGAGATGTCGGGAGGACGGTGTCCAAATTGGTTTAATGTGCTCTCAGTTCTGCACCCTGCAGTAAGATATAACACGGTTTTTGTAGGGGAACAGTTTGGCTTCTCTTTTTGCTATTTTTAACAAATTAGTTTCTTGTCAGCCTCGTGATTAAAGAGCTGAAGCGTGCAGTATCATAGAAGCGAAGCTGAGTGCTCCCTGTGTGTTTAAAATGCTACATCCGACTGAAAATGATCAGACTTACATTTCTTGTTCAGCCAACAAAATAAAATAATTGTGCATCTCAACAGGTTGCCAAAACATTTCTTGACAAAAACAATCATGTCCTGCAAGTTGGTAACAAAGTCATGCTATATTTATTTTCATATCAGCCTCATATTTATTACATCATATTTTCCTTTCTCTTTTTTGTCCAGGAATTTCTCACTCCCTTTAACCCTATGTTCTTATCTCTTTCTAGAAGTATACAAATCAAACTAGTTTCTTCTTCTCTCTTTGTCACAGTGTTGTATAGATAACTACGAGGAGATGGTGAAGATCCTGCTGGACCGAGGAGCCAGCGTCAACGCTCAGGACAACGAGCTGTGGACGCCGCTGCACGCCGCTGCTACCTGTGGCCACGCAGGACTCGTCAAGATCCTCATCACACAGTAAGACATGACGATTTATTTTATTGTATTTCATATGTTTATATAACAGGGACACAGCTTTGCTTCATGCAGACACGGCATGGCACCTACAGTGTACAGTAGTACAGGTTTTTAGCCCGGGCTAATTTGCCACCACAAACAAAAGCATGAGACTACAGAAATACAGAAGCAGTGATACTATACTTTACAAATGCAGACGTTATAATGCAATACAAGAAAGACACTAAAATTAGGACAAACAGTAGAATAAAGATTAAAGCGGAAGACAAGTCAATGCTCACAGACTTGTCTATGTTTCAGCCACTGTTTTAAATTTCCGATGGTAATGTGTTTCACAGATCTGTTCCTCTTACTCAGAATGATGACTGATTCAATTTAGTTCTGCGCATTTGTGATCTACAGTTTTCACCCGGCGTAGCCCTCGTGCTGATTCCACTGTTTGGTTTATTAAAATTAAAGATGGATTTCTCTTTGACATGGACGTCACAAATACACTGGATGGACCAGATGGATTGTTTGAGTGTTTTAGCTCACAGGTTCATTATCAACACTTGACCACTGGAGACTTTTGAGAGACACATAGAAGTAATAATAGTAATAGTAGTAAGCTGACAGATTGTTTCTGGAGAGAGGTTGTTTACACCCTTAAAACCAGTTTTATAAAAGAAACGTTGACAAAACGTTCCCCTCTAACTCAGTATATTTCTTTTAGAATGAGGTAGAGGTAACATCTAACTGTTTTTTGATCATCTATTCTCTTCAGTACCTGCTTACATGATGACCTGATGGGTATAATAGTCGTTAAGCTGCACTGGCCTCAAACACTTATCCACTATGATAAATGAGAAAATATCATGGCATGCATAAACCGCTCTGCTGCGTTCAACAGTTTATATATTGTCTGATTAAACCAAAAGTATTTCAATATTTTATGACAGTTTTGCATAACTTCTTCACATGTTAGCTTAGTGCTAATTCACCTAGCCATAGAAAAATGCAAAACTCACACTTTTTGTATTAGAAAGAAAAAGCACTACCATTGTATTAAAGAAAATAATTGAAGCTGTATTCAAATCATTTGAACATTACTCAGCCTTGTTGTGATACAGAAGAAAAACTACAGCTGTAATTCCAGAGTGTGCTTAGAGGCGTACATTAAGAGAGCAGATTTAATAACACTTGATAAGATCACATAACAATGGTACAATATCAGTGGAAGATATTACAGGATAATATTGAATCATCTTCTGCCTGTAGGACCTTTAATGATTGAGGTGTCATTAGCCATCTTTGTGAAGTAAACTTTATTCAAACTTAATCAAACTCTCCCTGTTTTTCCAGAATTATAAAAGCCTTCACTTACACTTGAGCATATGGTGTAAGTCCCGTACAGAGTTACATAGGCATATACATTGTAGTCATGTTTAATTAAGACTGAATTATCTTCTGCTATTACAGCATGTTGATGGAGAAAGTGTTCATGCACATACTGATGTTGTTTCTGTCTGTGGGTATAAAGACATGGATAATAAAGACTTGATTACTATATTACGTATCAAATAAATTCAGAAAATATGCAGACTAACAGCTACCATCTGTTGACATACAGGACCTGACAGCCCTACGTCATATCTCTCCGACTCATTCTCCAGAGTGAAATTACTGATCAAAAACTGTTAAATAATGCAGGACAACTTGTTCTGGACAGAAATCATTTAATTACCATCATCAGTGAGTGCTCTTCCTCAGATTTGTTTTGTCATTACTGCCCAAGACTTGACTAGAAGATCTTTTCTCAGCATTTTGTCGGCCTTTTTCTCATCAGAAATATAAAATGAAGGGTTTTTTTGTTGGTTAGGTAAAAACATGGCTGATGTTAACAAAAAAGAAAATCAAAAAATATTGCAAACTATATCAAACTGTTTTCCTGTCTTGTATTTTTGGATTAAGAGCTCATCAGTGCTCTTATTATTTTAGCTTTTGGCGATCTTTTCTTATAAATCACAAATCAGAATCAGAATAAAAAATACTTTATTAATCCCGGAGGGAAATTCAGTCGTTGCAGTTGCACTAAAACACAAGCAGTAAAAATATAGTTATATACAATCAAATATTAATAAAACAGTTATTAAATTAAAATATCAAGCAATAAGCAATAAGTTGTGCTTTACAAAAACGCAGAGTGAGGACAATATAGACTATATACACGTTTTTAAGACTATTGCACAGTTTACATTTTGTATTAATGGACATGCCTTTAAATGTTACTAATGACTTCTCCTCACATATTCACCACATTAGCAAATGTTGTACATTTAATACAGTAATTATCGGATGAAAATGAATATTAATAATTCATCTGCTCGTCTCCCACAGCGGTGCAGATTTGCTGGCGGTTAACTCTGATGGGAACATGCCCTACGACCTGTGTGAAGACGACCCAACACTGGACATTATTGAGACAGCCATGGCCAACAGAGGTAGGATATAAATGTTTAAAGATATAACATGACTGCACAAATCGAGCTCCGTGAACAGAATATTAAGTCTGTTGCTCTCAGCTGATAAGAGAAAAAAAGTTTCTGTGCTGCCTGGAACAAGTTTAGGAAGCCATCAGCCTCACAATGTCTGCAGACATTAATAAAAGTAGATAATGTACTGTAGCTGCTCCATGTACAGAAATCATGTTATTGTAGGGAATGTGCTGTATCCACCTTATTTCAGATTATGACAGTTCTATTTAAATTATACAGCTATTCTTTTAACGCTAGTTTCACAGTTCTTGTACAAAATGTTTCTGAGTCATATACTGGAATACGATGGGAGCAGGAGAACAACATGCACCTTTTAAAAGAAGCACCATTGTGCTGTTCTATGACAGCAGGGGCAGGTTCACCTCTCAAAACCCTCAGGAATATTTACAATAAAGTTTTATGTCCTGGAATTCAGGCAAGTATTTTTTTTAAAAGCAGGCTTTGCATTTCCAGCATTAATTATTCTACATTTTAACATTTGTTACTGGCAGGTTTTATGCCCAAGAGCCAGCCATGTCTCTTGGGCATAACCCTAACCCTAAAACAATGAGGCTAAAATAATACTTAACTGCAACGTACATGATTCGAAAAGTCACCATCCTTAAAAGTTGATGTTCCATGTAAAAGACATATTGAAAAATAAAAGCGTTCTTCCTTAAAATACTGTGTAGAGCTAAATAGTTATACTTGATTTATCCCTATTATACAAGGGGAGGATCAGACTAATAATTAATTTTAATAAAGGTGCTGAATGAGTGCTTAGCTTCAATAGTTAGCTGTTAGTAACATGTTTTTTATGACTTGATAACTAGTGAAAAAACCTTTTAGGATGAAGATAAAGTCATTCTTAAGCCAAACATGACACTGTCTTGTTCATCTGTATATAAACTTCCAGATATTCAATAAGGTCCAGAGCTAGCTGCCAACATTAGCTTAAACTGTGATAGCACCCAGGTCCTGCTTCTAAACAGAACACGAATATGACGCAGTGGATTTGACGGACGGGAACAGGTTGTTTCTGCTGTAACCCTGTTACCAAATACCGTTCCTTAATCAAGTGCCTGCTTTGTCATGCCGGGTGGCTCCAGCAGATTGTAAGCTAATTAGCCGGACTTGCTACAAATGCAGCTTACATTAGAGAGGATAAAAGACACAGTTTAATCCAGACGCACACTCTGTCTTGTCACTTGGCTCCTTCCCCACCTTGGCGTACAGTTTTAAGGTGCTTTAACCTCTGCAGCAGCGTTAAAGAGTGGTTTCCTGCAGAGTTAAAACTATGTGAACCACAAGAATAAATTGCTGAGGAAGATTGCAGCAGGGTTGTGACCTCAGAAAGCTCTCTGTGTCCCGCACAGTATTGACACTTCAGGGAGCTCTGAGATATTCACAGTACTCTCAGTCCCTATACAGATTGGAATATAGCATGTATTCAAGCTGTTTCACTGTTGGCAGCTGAATCATATCAGTTTGTCTGTGTGATGTGAACTATTAGAAAGAGTTCAAGAGATCAGCAATGACAGGCTCATAAATGCACATCAGTGAAGAAGAAGAGGGGACTCCCGCTGCGGGTTAGAGGTGTGTGCATTTCCATCTTTGTGTGATAGAAAGAGACACTGACACCAAGAGCGTCAGTGTGACACACAGCTTTATTTACACTGGAAATTAATCACACTAAACCTTCTCAGCATCAGCGCCTGTCACTGTTTTGTTTTCGGTTTGGACTAACAGTTACATCTAGAGGCAGACGTGTGAGCACACAGTTGGCAACGAAGCAGTGAAATCTGTGTCTGCGGGGGCTTTGAGTTAAATACTGAAGTATGAAAGCCAAGATTTGCTTCTGAAATGTGGATTCTTGAAAAGACAGCTCAACGTTTTGGAAAACATGCTCATTGCTCTTTCTGAGCGTTAGATGAGATGAATGAGTCGGAAACTTCCATTTTTTGTTTTTACTGGGTTATGTTGACAGTTAATTTGGCAGTCTGCGGCTGATACTTTAAAAAAAAGATAAGTCATGAAGTAGTCAGTGTTGAAACCTCATTGAAAGTGCTGAATCGTCAATTCCATTCACAAAGCATAGAATTTAAGCTAGCAAGCCTTAAGGTGCTAGCAAGCCAATATTGTTATGTTTGGAAAGAGCAAGGCTAGCTGGTCACTTTTCTTAGTTTTTATGCAAAGCTAAGCTAACCTGCTAGAAGTATCGATCTTGTTATTTTTACAAGAAAAAATATCAGATATTATTTAACTTTTGAATTATAACAGTTTTATTCAGACTTTGCTCTTGCCATCCCAATTTGCCAGACGGCTCAAATCAGGACCTGATATGCTAAACAGTGTGTTTCAGGACCAGCAGTTTAAAGCCTTTAAAATAAACTTGAGTTTAACATTTCTATAGGTCGTGTCTGAGGCGGACTGAAAGTACAAACAGAAGCTAATTACCTGCATTAGCTGTTAGCTAAATGCATAGAAAGCCTTTTTTTCCCACGATTGATCTGCATTTCTTTCATTTGTCTCTAAATAAGCTCAATCGGCTGCTTTTCCTGCTGCAGCCGGTACCTGGCATTAGAAACACAGCCCTTTGTGATTGATTGAACAGAATTGAAGATAATTGCTTTTGAACACAAAAACACCTTTAAACTCCTGTTAAAATAAACAAGCATGGTGATTGTATACGCTCTATTAACTTGTTTATTTTGCAGATCATTTCCAATAGCCCCCCCAAACCCCCTCCAACTTCTTTTTCTTCTTCTTCTTCTGATTTCAGCCATCATTTCTGCTGTCTTCAAACCTGTAATAGGTTGCTCTTTGTATGTGAGCCATGAGTCATGACGTTTGTCTTGTGGAGGCTTAAAGGTTGGGATTAAATGTTGTTCAAACCGGAAAAATTACATAAACTATATTGTTAGATTGTTTAAAAAAATACCAACTAGCACTAACTTCAGCTGTAAGACCATTTTTCACTGTTATAACAAATCTCACTGAGATCTGCTCTCCACAAAGGTTCTTTTAAACGTGAAAATAAGAGGAACTGTCCAATTTGGATATCTAAAGGCTAGAAAAAGCAGAAAACAGGTTGAAATATTTCACTTCGTCTTGCTCAAGGTGCCCTTCGACTTCATCCTACATCCCAAATGCTTCAGTGGAGCTGCTCAGTGATTAACAGGAGGAGCTGTGTGGAGGCAGGCAGGGTGTTGCTGGAGAGAATCACGAGTGCTCATTTCCTCTGGTAATTAAAGGTCAAACAACACCTGTTATAATATGTGCTGTATCATAAACAAGTTCAGGGTTAAAGATTTTGGAAGTGCAAATAGACACCTGGCACCTCGTTGTGTGGGTGTTGTCCTGGATGTGAGACAATATGACAAACCCACATGAACAAAGATGATGAGGGACGTGGGGAGAGAAATTACAGACAGACAAAAATGATGTTCTCAGTGTACAATAGTGTCTCTGGAGCAGCAGACTGCAGACAGCGGTACTGTAGGTGAGCAGAATGATTATTAAGCCGATCAAAGGGAGCGTGGTGCTGCTAATTGCACCGTAATGTTTCCAGCTCTGTACTGCTGGATGACACTTCTGTCTTTAGAGACACTGCAGGGATTGGCACAAAATCTTTTTTTCTATCTCGCTCCCTCTCACACACACACGCGCGCACACACACACACACACACACACACACACACACACACACACACACACACACACACACACACACACACACACACACACACACACACACACACACACACACACACACACACACACACACACACACACACACACACGCGCGCGCGCAGCACCTCATATGCAGCATCGACTGATCTCGTCTCTTCCTTGATCCTCCCCTGTAGAGCCCGGTTCGTGTGTAATGAGCTGCAGTGATAAAGAGGAACTCTAGCAGGGATTGAACTGTTGAAACAGAGCCAGGAATGCAGGCGAGTCAGACCCAGTGGACACAGAGCAAAATAAGAGAATGTCATTTTTACCCCCACTGATGGAGGGGAAAATAATTACAATTAGGAGGAAGACTAAAAGCATTTGTCGTCTTAGCTCGTAGTTTGCTTGAAGTATGCTTGTTGAAGAGTTGGCATTCTTTATAAATGACTATGTGAATCAATTGTTCAGGCAGTCGGTTCAGCGGAAAAAAAACAATTATTGTTTGCGCTCATTTAAATTTGACAGATAGCAAAGGTCTCAATTATTGTCAAATCAGTGTTGTTTTGTTTTGGACTGACATCATCATTGACTGAAAATGGAAGATTGCAACCAAATTGCATTTGTGCCTTATTGTGATGCTAAATCTTTTAGACAGGACAACTGTCAATCAACAAAACTCCCAGGAACATGATTGATGTGGGGGCAGAAGTGGCTCAGTCTGTTTGGACTTGGGTTAGAAACCAGATGGTCACTGATTCAGTTCCTGGTTTGGACATTTTGGACTGGTTGCTGGAGAGATGCCAGTTCCCTTCCTGAGAACTGCCAACGCGCCGATAAGCAACCTCGTGTCTTGAAATTTGTATTTAATTTTGGTCATTATTCAACTCAGCTTTACTAAAGTGGTTATTGTAGGCCAGTGCTTTTGCTTTAGCAGGTCATGAAGAGAAGGAATCTCAGTTTAAGAATAACCGTTGTCTCTTTATTAATGTAAAGATTTATTGATATCTTTTGTTCTGTTTTTTTTTACTTCATTTGTGGTAGCTTGGAAAAATTTCACATTCATTAATTTAGGACATTGTTTAGCTTTGGGGCATCGATGTTGCCAAATCAGAATTTGACAGAAACAAGGTATGCAACATGTGAGGCATCAGAACCACAGAGAATAATGCTTTCAGCGCAAACAACAGAAAACACACACAGAGGAAAACAGAAGCTGGAGGGGCTTCACTTCATTAAAGCAGACAAAGAGAACTGCCATCGTCCTGATTCCTGTGTCTTCAAACAACCTCTGGCTGTGATTGTGAATACAGAGTGAGAGAGGGGGAAAAACAGTGTTCCTTTGCAACATTTTTTATCACCTCCTTTAAAATCTAAGGCCGTCACCTGTCGGTGTGGGCCATGGCCAAAACAAGACGGGGACATTGAAACAGGACTTTGAAATGATCTGGAGGCTGCAGTGTTGGCTGGGTGAATAGATTCACTCACACAGGTTCAATTTATGAGACGAGAAAGGTAGCAGGGCTGCAATACGGACGTTAATGCATGCACAGTCAGGTGAGGCTAGTGTACATCTACTTGTTGTGTTGATTGAAAGTGGCAAGATTCAGTATTATGTGCTCTACCGACAACTGCTTTAATATAAAGGATAAAGAAAGCAATCGTTTCATGTTTCATGTACAGCAGGGGTAGTTTGAGGCCTTGTTCGTCCTTAGAGTCACTCCCATATTTAGTCTCACACAGACATTATAATAGAGAAGTGACAGTACTGACAGTGCTGCAAAATAAAGTGTTCCTGCTGAGCTACAAGAGAAGAAGTGGAGTGTGTTGGTCGCAGGTTGAGTTGTGCCTGACAGTAAGGTGTTGGATTAAAAGAGGAATTTAGAGAGGTTATGACAGACAGACTCACCTGAGCCTCAGCGTAGACATACAAAGCTGTTCAGTCTGCAAAGAGAGAGTAGAAAGGTAGAATTATGCATGAAGACTGCCTTGTCCATTACCATTTAAACCATTTTTTTTTTTACTTTTATAGATTACTATTGTCTAATTTTGAGACTAGATGAGTCACTAGTACCCTTTATATTAGGACTCCATGGACCATTGCTTAAAAAAAAAAGAAACCTCCAACATTATTTTAAAATATTGTTGCTGTCGGTATCAAAAAGGAAGCTTTTTCTCCCTAAAAGATTCATGCAAAGGTTTATGTAAAAGATCCATGCTTCACTATATTTAAGCTGCCTATCTTTCCCTTATAATGTGTCAGATCAATTCTTTCCCTCAAGATTAACGCGTTGGTTCTGCTTGTGCATTTGATTGACAGGCATCACTCAGGAGATGATCAACGAGACACGAGCATCGACAGAGAGGAAGATGCTGGGAGACATTCAGGAACTGATGAGACAGGAAGAAGAGGTCAACCAGCAGGACTCTCAAGGAGCAACACTGGTAAAACAAATTTTAAAAAATTACAAATTTTAATCTAAAATAAGCTGACTGAATGTTTTTTTCTTTTTTATATATCAGACACTTGAAAGTTTTGCTGAATCACAAACTTTCCTCTCCTATAGGCTCGGGATTTCTAGAAAACTGGCAAAACATCACAAACAAACATAAAAACAGTTGAGTTTGCTAAAAAAGAAAAGTACATACTGTTATATAAAATACAAACTCATCCTATCCTGATGATTCATTTAAAGTCAAAGTTTCCTTGTCAAACTTGGTTTTTGCTTTTACTTTGCAGCCGCTGCAGGACTTAGTCTTGGTGTTGCTTTTCTTCTACTTCCTCCAATACAAAGCTACCAGTACCAACAAGTACAAGGTCACATATTATCCAAAATCCACTTTGTCATTTTTTTCTCACACTAATATGTGTCCCTAGCCTTTCTACCAACCTCCCAATTATGACAAAAGTCCATCCTCTCCGTCTTTTACCTGCTCCACTTTTCAGAAAATGTGCTCAAACAGGCCGATTTTCCCTTTGTGACATCACAAAGGGCAGTAACCCCTCCCCAAGGTGGGTGACACTCCCACATCTAGGTGTTGGTTCTGCCCCCTGAGTCTGTGTTTCCACAGTAAACAATAGGGCATGGTGCAAGAAAGCCCAAGCAACCTCCCCTTCCAGAGAGGGGGCGTGGTCAGACACAGCTCATTTACATTTAAAGCTACAGACACAGAAACAGCCTGTTCTGAGCTGAAAATAGAGGGGTTTATAGACATGCTTAAATAAAGGATCAGAGAGGATTTTTAACAAGAAACTTCAAAGACATGCTTTAGGGAGCTTATTTAAACTCTAAAAGGAATATGATATGTGACCTTTAGGATATTGGTACTATCAATAATTACAAAAATTGCACTGAAAGTGTTTATTGAAAAAGGTAAAACAGGAAACCTACGTGGGTAGCAACATGTTGACATCACTGAATTTAGAGGTGAAAAAAACTATCTGCTTGTTTTGACTGAGATTTGTGCAGTTTTGTTCACTGATGCATGCATGACATCATTAGTCATAAACTTTTATCAGTTTATTATCAGACCAAAAAACATGGTTTAAAAACCACACAGCTTGAAGTACGGCTGGGTTACTCGATCATTTCTGCCTCCAGGCCGGCTGATTCTGTAAGGGATTAAGGTTGTTATGTTGTGTTTACTGTGACACAAAGCAGCAGAAATGCAAGGCATTCAGTGAGAGGAAAATATGGGAATAGTTTGTACATATTTAGAGGATTTTAATGATTGTAGATCCACCTTTTAATGATCGTGTGTGCTCATCTAAGGCTGCTTTATGAGGCTATAAAATCTTGAAAGCTAATCAGGCGTTAAGAAACTCTTTATGGTCTTCTTAAAGGATAATCAGCTGTGTGATTTCATAATGCTCTGCAGATATAAAAGTGATCTGTTGCTGAGCACTGAATACACCTGCAGTCATATTTAAAAACTATGTGAAGAGGAATTGAAAAAGATCTTTAATAATACATATGGATGCACAACACTGCACAGAGTGTGGATCCGTCTGAGGCAAAATGATCTGTTATTTTAGGATTCATAACTAAAATCAACTTGGCTTAGATTAAGAAGAAAAAGAGACCCATAATAACAAACAAAAAAAATTACAACGATATGTAAAAACAATTTAAAAATCAGATTGGAAATTTACCTGAAGTTTCTTTTAGTGGTTTCATAACTTGTGTTGAGGAAAGCTGTAGCTTTCTGAAATAAAACACAATTAACAACAAGTAGCAGAAATCTTCAGATTAGAATATTAACAAAAGAGTTACAACATTATGATCCAGGAATTAATCATTTTTGCACCAAAACACCATGGCACCAAGAATCAAAACATTTGATAGGAAATTATCTGTGTTTTTTATGAGTTTATCAAGAAACCGGGGGCTGGTCCCACATGAACGCCAGATCAAGTCTCCCCTCATCCTGTGGTTACTTGTGTACAGCAGTGCGTAGACAGGAAGTGGTTGAGCAGGTGACAGAGTTAACAGTGACTGCTTTCAGAGAAAAGTTAATAATGAAGTTGAAAAACAGGCTGTTGGTTGACATTTCAAATATTTCTTGAGTTCAGGGCTCAAACCACCAAAATGTGGCTATGCCACGAGTTATTTCTGCAACAAGCTGCTTTGAGACTGCTAAAAAGCTAAATGTAAACATTACAATGCTACAACTTACTTGTGTCTTCTGACTGAGTTAAACAATCTTTGCGTAGTGCAGATGTTGTTCATCTTGGCCTCATCTACTGTAGCTGTATATGCTTGATGCTGACAACATCCAGCACTACAAGCTACCAGCTACTGCACACACTCACAACCTTCATCACCTTCTTGTCATGCTGGTACTTCCTGTGTGCTAACCCTGTGCACCTGTGTACCAAAGTTACTGCGTAGGGGCTATGGGCCTCTGCACATTATTTCATGAATCTGAATTAGACTCACACTAGAACAATAGAGTTAATCAATACTTGGTGTACATGGTGATCTGCTTTCAATCTTAGATGCACTAAATTATTGATGCCTTTTTCGACATGCAAACATGATAAACTGGCAAACAGTTTCATTTCAAATCAATGGGTCAATCACGTTCTTGGTTTGGGGGCTGCTTTCATCCCTCTTGTTTTATCAGAAGTGTATGAGAAAATGACTCAGGCATATATGTAGATGATATTTAAGTACTTTGTGCCCCATGCTTCTGTGTGGATTATTCGTTTAGCCTCGAAATAGCCCCATGCTAAAGTGGTCAGTGAATTTGTTTTGTTTTTAGGCCAGTGACCTGATTATTTTGAAGTCAAGTAATCATCTGCATAAAATTTCTCAAGCATAGATGCCTTAATGAAGTCTTTATTATCTTATCAGGGATTTAGCTTTGCGGTAGAAACACAGGGACAGATCACTGGATCAAAATAGCCAGGGGACATTACATGGTAGTAGCCCAAAATAACCTGTTAAGCTTTAAAGTCTTACCACAGATTGTCTGATTGAGCTGCTTGTTTCTCTGCGCTATCCGTCCCCGATAATCTCTATTCGAGCATGATGAAGCAAACTGGAGCATGCTTTATTAAAACTGCTGGCAGAGACGAGAAGAAGAGACCTGGAACTGGTAGGAAGTTATGTAAAGCTAATCTTTTGTTTTCTGCTCAAATACAATCTGAGTTCCAGTTTTGATGTGCAGCCAGGAACACAGATTATGATCTCTTGTAGTTGCTGATCAAACTGTAGTGCAAACAAACAATCCAGCACTTCAACAGGGAGAGAGAGAAAATAAGGAATTATAACATATAGTGTTTTGGTGTGAAACTGCAAGAAATTGGACAAAAGAGATACAAACAAAAAGGTGGGACGCATCATCAGGCGATGTTTCCTGGGTTCCCTGGATGTTTCAGGTCTCTAAAAAATATCAAACACTCTCACCAAGGTGACCCAGCCAGGGTTCGCATCGCTAGGCCATGGATCCCCCCCCCCCCCCCCCCTCTCTCTATCCACAGCCACCTGGAGGCTTTCTCTGCTGCCTCTATTGCAGTCCTAATGGCTGTTCTCTTAAACAGCCCCCTCATTCCCAGCAGTTTGGAGAGCCTGTGGAGAGAGCGGCCTGCAAAGCTTGTGTAGCCTATACTTCCACTGGATGGCAGTGTTCTCGCCACCCCTGTTTCATTCCTCCCTGGTATTTGGCAAGCTAGCTTTCAAAAGCCTCCTCTATGTAGTCTTTCCAGGGCCTATCAATCCTATCGAGGCCTCTGACAAGATGATGATGTCTGGTCACAATGATGTTGCTGTGATGTCTACCAGAACATTAAGTTGCTTGCCCAGTTTGGCCATAATATACCAGTCCTGTGCGTTGGAGAGTAGACCTGCCAGGGCTGTGAGATGTGGTTTGATGAGCGACTGGTGTGTGATCGTGTGATCGTCTTGAATGTTATAAGAGTGCTTAATCCTCTTTACTGCTAGCAAGTATGTTCTTAACCTCACATTTCTTTAGACTGTGAATGTACTCAGTAGCATGTAGCATTGAAAAAAAGGTTCAAAAAAGATGTCATCAAAGGGTCAGGCTCTATGCTGCCTCCTGAGATCTCCTCGCCGTCCTAAAAAGGAAACTCTCCCGCTGGGAGGTGCATATTTGATCAGGCTACTCAGGAAGGTTTCAGGGGCAGCCTGTCCTGAAATCTTTTAGAAATTTTCAGAAGTGCATGTAAGACCCAAACCCCAGACCTCAGACCTCCTATTTACAGTTCTACTTTTCCACTACACCTACATGTTTTAGGCCAAAAACTGGATAAGTCAGAGAGAGCTTATCCCAGCATACTTCTCAGTCAGGCTGCCAGTGATATTGCGAGAGGCAACTGAATCGCCCTGAGGAAACCATAACATGGTGACACAATCCAGACATTATGAAACTTGTGGTTTTTGGCATTTGTGATGCTTGCAGCTTAGCCCTCATTCCTCCGCTTTGGTCCAGACAGAAATATCTCAACAAGTAAATGAATAAACCTCCTGACTTCTGCACTAGTGCCACCATGAGGGTATATAAAAAAGTTTGTTCACTAGCCTACTAATGTTTACGAGTAAGTATTGCTAAAACTTCAAATATTTCCAACCGCCTTATCTTTACTTTGTGATCAGTTTGATGTTATTGACACAGCAATCAAATGATGAATGAGCAGAACCAGACTCATGTTGAACAGCCAACAGCCCAAACTGTGCCGGTTTGGAAAATGGGATATAGGGAGATGCAGATAATATGATGTGCTGACATACAAGTGGTTCAAAGATGTATTTGTGTGAACAAGTGAAAATGTAAATGTCCTTGTGTGGATTCCAAAACAGAACTTGAATTGTAAGAGAAAGACTTGAATGTCTGTAACAGACTTTAATATGATCAGATTCACTTCTGTTGTTCCGCTTCATACCAAATATAGACTTTGAGTACAAACAAGTAATGAGGTTAATAATCTGATAGACTAGATATGATAAAAAGAAAGATTTGCAGTGGTTTAATCTGATCAGCTCCTTGTGTAATTGTTTCCTTATAAAATGTGACATGTGAGTCTGTGACCTGCAGAGTGGATTATCTCAGGCCAGCAGGATCACTTTATATCTTTTAATGGCAGTTACTCAGTATTAATTTACTGTTCCAGCAGAATCCAGCATCTCATCAACCTGCAGAGTATTTAACAATGTTGTGGAGGAAACATCCATGAATGAATGTGCCAAACATGGACACAAGGGTTTATCTAAAGTATATTTTTGCAGGTGCAGCATGATGTCCTTATTATATGGACATTTTAAAGTATAATTTGACATCTGAATTGTAACGTTAGAGTAAAATCCACCCTCTCTTTTATGCATAGAGCATGTCTACAGCAGATTTTGAGCTCTGGAGAAATGTAGCCTAATCCTTGTTCCTGCTCTGTCCTTGCAGCTCCACATTTCGGCAGCAAACGGCTACGTCCAGGCTGCAGAGCTGCTGCTGGAGGGGGGGGCTCGCATGGACCTGAGAGATACGGATGGATGGCAGCCTCTTCATGCTGCAGCCTGCTGGGGTCAGGTAAGGTGAACACAACAGGAAACAGGAAAGACATAAAAACACACACACACACACACACACACACACACACACACACACACACACACACACACACACACACACACACACACACACACACACACACACACACACACACACACACACACACATTAAGGTTTCCTAACCCTTTATATAATTTGCTGCTGTTTTGTTTCAGATGCATGTGGCAGAGCTGCTGGTGTCTCATGGAGCCAGTCTCAATGCCAAGACCTTCCTAGAGGAGACCCCCATCGGTACATTAACACCTCGACACTCCTCAGTCTCACACTTATCAATACACCTGGTGGGGTGCTGAGAAAACAACATGTCTTGTCCCAGCAGGGTCTCATTTCCAGCTTGTTCAGTCATTGCAAGTGTTAGATTTACCTAAACAGAATTTAAATCATCATTTAAACAGAACAAACCCACAACTTGAAACTATCCTGGGCCATTTGCACTGCTAGTTGCTGTAGATTTTATATTTTTGATATTTTACAACCTAAGCTGAAGTTAATATTCAGAATGAGAGACTGGAATTACAAAAATACAAATATAAATATATCAGTTTTTTTATTAATATCTCTTATTAAGCACAATATGCATGTTTACATTTGAAAGTAATACATGCTGATATGTTCTGCTTTCACCCTCCTCATCTTCAGATCTGTGTGAGGATGAGGAGTTCAGAGCCATCCTGCTTGACCTGAAACACAAACATGACATCATCATGAAGTCACAGCTCAAACACAAGACCTCGCTATGCAGGCGAACATCCAGTGCAGGGAGCCGCGGGTAAGTGCTGACCTCTGCTGGTGTTACACCTGCTACTACACCTGGTAGTAATGCTTTGTTTTTCTGTTTGTTCGTTTTTTAAACAAAAAATATGCAGAGTACCGATGGCTACGCCTTAATTTAATTCAAAAGGGCAGAATATCAATCTCACAGAATGATTTATCAGTGAAGGGAGTTATTGTGTGTTATGTAATCTGGCTTCTGGTTTATGTATTGTTTTGTATTGTGTATGTTTTTTGTTCATCTGCACTCTTTAAACTCTGTAAGAGCGAATACATGAGCAGATCATTCATTTCAAATGTGTCCATATGTATTTTCATTTAGTATAATCTAGAAATGTGTATCATATAAAGTGTTAATGTGCTTAGAGAATGCTTTAATTTATTTGTTTTCCTGGGTCAACAGAAAAGTGGTGCGGAGAGCCAGCCTGTCGGACAGACACAACCTGTGCCGTAAAGAGTACGAGACGGAGGCCATCGTGTGGAGGGGAGGGAGGGAGGAGGAGTACGAGAAAGAGAAGGAGTCAGATCAGGAGAATCACCAGGTGGTGAATGTAAGTACTCAGATTTCATTTATTCTTGTTGCTTGTGTTCTACACAGGATAAGGGAAGCATATTAAGGTGTCAAACTAGTATCCAAGTTTAACATCCTGTTGTTATGACAACCCTACATATACATTACATTTGTGAAGTCATCCTCCGTTTGATGTTTTTTTTTCAACTGTGCTTAACCTGCATGCTATGAGACCTGACACGACTCTGAGATCATTTTAGCACAGGCAGAAAGGTGTTTAATGTTCGGCATATAATCATCTCCTCCACACATCACACATCAGGAGTCTAAATGTCACATTCTGCTGTAGGTGTGTTTGAGATTTAAAAAAAAAACACTACCTCAAAGAAAGTCAAACAGTAGGAAACCACAACGGAAAAATTATTCACACAGAATCTTTTACAAACAGTAGAGCCAGCACATATGAATGCAGCGCAGTCTCTTACTCGCAGTCTCTTACTTCTCTTGCCAGTAGAGGAAAGACAACCCTCACACTTTTAACTTTAAGTACTGTCTCGCTCTTATGAAGTCAGGAGTGTCAGCTCAATTAAGCTTCCACAGACTGACTGCAGCAAAGTTAAGCAATTACTGACTGATTATAAAAACACTTGAAACGTAATACACCAAGCTCTGACATGTAGGACTGTGTTTGTAAAATTCAATCTTTTTTCAGGTAAGAAACTGTTGATTACAATGAACTATGACTCCCTGTAACAGTTGCAGTAAAATATTTGGTTGAATATTCTTGCCACCAGAAGAAGTGTGATCTTCTTTGTACAGAGTCTGTCTTTGGTTATTTAAACATCCTAAAGAGAAGGGGGTTAAAGTAATCATTATTGATGTCCTGCAGGTCAAGCCGGCTGTAGCTGTGGAGCTGCTGGACAAGCCCATGCTGCCCACCATCCTCAAAGACGGCAACGGCAAACAGAACGGCCTCATCTCCACGACGACGTCCGTGCCGCCACAGCAGCCATCCAATGGCAACACACCATCGTCCGATAAGTCCGGGGTCGTCTCCACTCAGGAGGAAGCCTTGCCTAGGGAGCGCGCTCAGACTCTGTCAGAGCTCAAGAAACAGAGGTCCGCCGCCAAACTATTGAATCACCCGCTGTTCAATGGTCACTTAGGGAACGGCTCCACAGACTCCTTCTCTGATGCCAAAATCAACTCAGATGACCCCCGCATGCCGCTGGTCTCCTCCAATGGCAGCGCAGTTTACTACACGCCTGCCAGCGGCGACCCGCCCCTGCTTAAACTGAAACAGCCAATAGAAGAGGAGCCTCCGAAGATGCGGACCTGCTGCTGCATTTCATAGCTGGTCATGTGACTGTTAGACAGAACAGGAAGTGTTTGCACAGAGAGGAAGGAAACAAGGACGATGCTGTGAGGAGGAAGGAAGGAAAAGGGGGTGTTTTCCTATCTTTGAGTGTCCCCTCGTCCCCTTCTTCTAACGTCTTCTGGCGCTGATGGTCGGCCTGAAGAAGACAAAGAATCAAATGACCCTCTCCCCAAATGCAGGCATGTTTCAATGTAGCAGAGGAGAAGAAAGAAATGGAGCAGTGCCACTTTTTTCCTTTAAGATGACTCCTGGATTCAAATTCCTTTTCATATAAGGAGCCTCCCTGTAAGAAATGCCAAATGGATAGAAAGAGTGCGAGAAACTGTTACTCTGCTGTCTCTGTGCACCTTCAAGAATCAAGATGTGGACAGTTTTTTAAAACTTTTTACCCAGAAACAGTGAAGAATTTGTGATAAAGAGAGCAGCAAAAAGGTACAAGAAGCATGATCTGCCTTCAGGACTGATGACGGAAGAGTCTTATTACCCCACATAAGGATGGTTATCATGTAATTAAACAAGATTTTTCTGCAAGACAAACTCACGTTTTTTGTCAAACCACATTGTTCTGCTTTTAAGCCACATTTCTCATTGTTTTCAGAAGAGCAGGAATGCAATCACACAAGGGTCCAGATGTTTGTTTGTTTTATTCATCATATCAGCGACAACGAAACGAAGCAACAGGAGAGGAGTGACGTCTCTTTTCATGTTGAAATGCTGCCTGCATAAGCAAAGGGAAGGAACGCCATAAACAGTATTATAACATTCAGGAAGTGTACTTGTACAGCTAGAGATGACAGGAAAGATAGAAGTAGTGAGTTAGTATAATACGTCACCTCACCGTCCTCTCATATCAGAGCTGAACTGACAGATCATTTGATGCATAATGTTGCTCTCTTGTTAAGATAATTTAAGCAAAACATGGTTACAATGATCATTTCTTTATTTATGAAATTAATGTAATATGGTAAAAAAAAAAAAAAAAAAAAAAACATATGATGGTTCCTGAAGTTGAGTGTATTTATTATTTGGATGGTGTGTGGAGAGAGTGAATGCAATATAAGAAGAGCTGGGGAGACTTCCAGCGAAGCACCTTCTGACAGCGAGAATCAAACGTTCAACAGATGAAGTAGATAAAGGTTACAGTCAGCTTAATGTACATGTTATGAAATCACACAAAATAACCATCCTGCTGGAATGGTTATTCAGATCTGTGTCACTACAAATAACAGTGTTATTTGTTTATGTATTATTTTTCGTTTGTTTTTTTTGTTGGCCATTGTGTGGCTCTATCTTCTTCCAGTCACTGTATTTGTCTCTTTAACAGAAATTGTAAATGTTATGTAATGAACTGTAAGTATAGTATGAGACTCTATGCTTGCTAACACATTTGGTTGTAGTGAGCCCATAGCATTGTGACCCTGAATGCATCATGAGTTCAACAGGAAATATAGACTTACCATTACCCGAAATAAGGACCAGAATTAGCTTCTCTGCTGAATTAAAATGTTTGGTTTTTTTGGGGGGAAATATGCTATTTGCTCTCTTGCTCGGTGTTACATGAGATGATTGATGCTACTCTATTGCCTATATGCTAACTATGTAAATGGAGCCTGTTGCTGGTTAGCTTAGCTTAGCTTAGCATAGCATAGCATAGCATAGCATAAAGAGCTGCCCAAAGTCAAAAACCCTGCAGACCACATCACAAACTTTTTTTCTTCTTCGCATCATCAACTTATTTCATTGCATCTTCAATTACTTCCTGGACTCTGCACTGGTTGCCTGGCAACCCATTTGGCACATACCCTGCTGTAAAATGTCTGTTGTTAGTACAGATTAAACCAGCTATTTATAACATAATAACATACTTTTTCTTGTCAGAAATGTTTACTTATAGGAAAGAACAAACAGTGGACACTTCAAATATTAACAATGGCTCTGTTCCATTAAGTATTTTTAACTGATGGATCACGCTTGTGTTGTCAATCTCCTCATTTAACGCTCTGCAAGTGAGAATGCATTTTCCCTACAAAGGTGAACTCCTTTTGTCAAACAGTTTCTTCAGTCTCCTTGTGAGTGCCAAAGAGTCTTCCATGATTTCAAAATTAACTTTGAAGGACATTCGAAACCTTTGGGGAAAGGCTTTCTCTCCCAGTGTAGAGATCATTTGTGTTTCTTTTAAACATGTGATTACCCACAATGCAACGACCACTTTATCCCCACAGCATTGACTGTACAGTGTCAAATATTTGTACAGGTGTGTTTGTAAATCTGTTTGTATCAGTATCCCCTTTATCTGTTCCCATGAACTGCATTTACATGTCTGTGTTGATACTGTTGAGGAACTTGACCAACACAATGAATCGTGTTAGTAGACGTGACGTTGTTGAGGGGAAACTGTGATTCTATGTAGACTCTATAAGTATTCCAGCAGTCTAAAGTATATCAGTAAATTGATGCATCCAGGTGTCAGGATCATAATCCCCCTCCTCCTCTTCTGTTTCCGAGGTTGAATATTTTTGTGAAAATGTTGCTGTTAATTTTGTTACTCAACTCAATATTAAGCCACAGTCAAAGAGATTTCTATTTCCCCTATTTCTGGTTCCTTCTTTATTTTAAAGAGTATTAAGAAGTTAGTGATATCATCTTGTTTCGAGTTAGCTGAAATTCATTGAGGTTACCCAAGTTCATGTAAGTCCTGGCCGCTGCAATCAAGCCAATTGAAATTTTGCCTTCTTACTAATGAATAACATTAGGTATTAATTCTTAACTACTACCTGGTCAGTATTAGCTCAACGTCACCTGTTGAAAAGTACCCTGTGTTTTCATGCTATAAACAGATCAAAGCTTTTGTTTGTCTGCAAGCCTTGCTGACTATAAGGATATGGTGTTAAAAAGACAAAAAACTACTGATTTTGTAATTACTGGAATATATTGATGGTTGCATTAACATATTTTGAATAAATTGTATATTTTGAGAATTTTATATTGTCTCCTCTGAGTTAGTAAATAATTTTTGTTTGCAGGTTTGATGAATTTGTTACAATAAGACTATACTCTGCATGCTTTAACATAATTCAGAAATTCTTGTAATTAAGTTTGATTGTTTAAACGCTTGATTTTTTACTCTTTATTGGATAAAACAGAGATTGGATTAAACAAGTGGACGCAGCCTTCTGGTGAAGAAAGATGATGCTAATATGGACGTGTCTTAAACCTGCAATCACTCTAATGACCAGTAGGGGGGCGACTCATTTTGGTTGCAAAAAGAAGTCCAAGAAAGTCAGAAAGAGGCTCCTTCTTGAATGATTGGCGTACATCATATACCATTCAAATCTTGCTCCCAGGGGCGATTCTAGAGTCTGTTGGGGCCCTCCAACCAGCGTTAATGACCATCATGTCTGCCAGCCAACGCTTACTCCTCTATCTTTTTTCCTGTTTCTTTTTTCCGTCTCCTACCGACATCTAATTCCTCTTCATTTTTCTTTGTTGACTTTCATTGACAAACTGGTTTTCACAGCAATAATACATGCAAAGTTTAGCAGGGCAACAAGAGTAAGTGCTGTCAAATGGGGCCCCCTTAGGGAGGTTTCCTTCTGTCATTACAAAATTTGCACATTTTAGGCCACTGCTTGGGTTTAAGTTGGTGATCCCTCAAGGGCCCCCTACTGGTCTGGGGCCCCAAGCAGTTGACTGCCTTGCCTGTTGACAAGCAGCGCCTCTGATTGCTCCCCCCCTATTGCGTACGAAGAAATAATTTAGTGCTTTAATTTTCTTGATGACCTTGGTGTCCATCTGTCCTCCAAACAAGGACAGGAGGTCAAGAGAAGATACAGTACAGAAAAAAATGATGAGATGAGCACAACAATGAGTTCCAGTCCAATGTTTTTTTCTTTGCATAATTCAGCCGGTTTGTTATTTAAACTAAGGAAAAAGGGTACCAAAGAGTTAACATGAGCATCATCAGCAGCCATATGAAGGTCGCTTACGTTTTATTTCACCCGGAGATGTCTGCTTTCTCTGTCCTACATCTACAGTTCCTCTCTGTTCTGAAAGGCAGAGGCTAGACCGTCCTTCAACACACAGCTGTCAGGGTCTTGGCCCGGCATCAATTGCTTCCTTCAATGATTCTCTGTTTTTATTTCCTGCTGCTCTCTCTTTCTGAACTCCTTCCTCTCATTCACTGTCTGCAGGGTCAGTGAGGTCAGTGTTTTTCTTCAGGCTGCCCAGCGGTCATTGCTCAGATGAAAGCAGTTGGGTTAGAGAGACAAGGAAAGAAGACAGTCTTGTAAAAGTAGGATGTTTCACAAAGTTGATTCTGAGCTACATTTTGGGGACATTTGGACCTGACTTTTCCTTTTTCTAACTTTGTTAAAATACTGTACTCCCTCTGCTTTCACATTCTTCTCAGGGAAAATCAGAAGCCACTGGCTGTTTGCTCAGTCTCTTCAATCTTCTCTTTCATTGCTGTTTGTTTTATGGGGCTGACCATTTGGCTCTGATATAGTTGCCTGTCTTTTATGGAGAAACTTATCAGTACTCAAATAACCCAGCACTTTCATAAAACAGCTTGCCCAAACTATTTGTTGACACAGAGATTAAAAGAACACACCAAGAGTACAATCATGACCTAACTCAACAAACATCTACATTAGGTTACTGTTTCGTGTCTCAGCTTCATGAGCAAACTTAAGGAGTAACCCCTCTTTAATGTGAATCCCCCTCTGTGCACGGTCAGGATGTCTAAAGCATATAGACAGAGAGGAGGACAAAAGAGCTGAAAGCACATGATCAGGCCTGCATCAACCTCCTCTGCATAGCCTGACTTTACTATTGTGCCAGAGCTACACTGAGTGTAGGCCAGCTGGCTCTGGTCCCAGTCCTTCAGTCCTCTTCAGTGAAGGGTGAAGTGGACCAGTGCCAGGGAGAACATACAGACACAAACTGACCACCATGCAAAACACAAAAATGGAGGGATGCTGATGGGAGGCAATGAGGAGCAGTCAGGGGGAGAGAGGAGGATAAAGTAGGAAAATGAACCAGTGCCAGGAGTTTTTTTAGACAGTGATGGAGGGATGGAAGGCAGGGGGTGAAAAAAAGACGGCATGCAAATGAAGGCAGGATGGCGGGACTGAAAGCATTGCGTTGTAAAGAAGCCACAGCTATTGACTATCTTGCCAGCGTGTCTGAAGACGAATAGAAAAGCTGCTCAATAGAGTGGACAGATGGAGGGATGGCTCAGTGGGTCAGAACCTGTGCCCGGTTCCCAGGATCTGCTGGACTTAACAAAGCGTCAGTGTCCTGTTTGACCTGAATTTAAGACGTGTGAGAGGGGCGAGTCAATGTCTGTCTGTCCTAACTGTGATAAAAGTATATCCACTGGATAATTTCCATTCAGACAAGTGATTTACTTACTCTAACGTCAGTTCAACAGCTACTGACATTTTGACTGAATGCTGAGGAATGTATTCAAAGTGTTATCAAATGTTAGTTATTTTAAGCGACACAAGTGGCAAGGCAACAGAAGTATAGTTCTTGTAGCAGCTAAACAATTCAGTGCTTGTTTAGTGCAGATACAAGTTTAAATTTACATCAAGATTGCACAAAATTCCCCCCAAAAAATGGTATCAGGGACTAGTGTGCAAAGGGTCTCAAAGTATCAATTAGCACTATGATGTGTTTGTTGTTATATTTTGGCCACAAGAGTACATTACCACTACCTCAAAAACATAGTTCATTTATTTATAGTATAGTTTATTTATGTATTATTATATATGATTATATTTATAAATGTATTTTTTTCAGATATTCATTTTAATGTAATGCTTCTTTTCAGTGTTCAGACGGTTAAAGTGTTAAGATATGATACGTTTTATCGCGTGATCCAGATGTTGTAAAGTCAATGAGTAATCATTTTTGATAATCGTGATCTCACTATCGATCAAAATAATCATGATAATGATTTTTGCCAAAATGGAGCAGCCCTACTGTAGTTAAATGTATTCTTATAGTCTTGATCTATAGAAATAATTTCAAATTTGTCATCTGGCTGAGAATACAGTATTTACTCGACAGATTCTGATTAAAGTTGCACAATATGTTGGATTATCGTAACATAACTTAACCTACCTAGTAAGAATTATCTTTCAAAATATGTAAGAAATTATGTTTTTGTGAATTTTTTAACTCAGTTTAAGTTTTTCCACGAAGGGAAAATTTCCACTTAGTTTCAATAACTTCATTCTCCCCTATAAAGAAGCGTAACATTCTGGGAAAGGGAGAAGCCACTTTAAAGGTACACCTGATGGAGTCACCACACGCACCAACTGGCCCTGACTCTAAACAATTACATTTTGAACAAACATAGATTAAAAGTTGTGTGGACAAACCTGAGAAACTGGTTTTCTGAGTATGACACCAGGGCTGTGACACTTCCTTTTTTCCTGCAACGGTCAACGGCCAACCCATGTCGACCTGTAAAATGTGCTAAATACATAACCGACGCTGTGTGTGTGGTTCTCAGGATGTCTTCCTCTCTCTGCATCATTCACTCTTAGCTACACGGCCTGCTGCTGAGTCAGGGTGCAGCTGATCCTGATACGTCACACTACCACAACTAACAGCAGTTAAAGACCTGATGGAAAATAACACCTGAAACATACTTCAACCTCTATAATTAACATACTTAGATGTTACTGCTAATACACATACTTTTAACATTATTACTGACATTGTAGCTTTAAATTATCCATTGTTGTTGTTGCTGCTTTGTTTGTCCTTATCCTTCTTCCCGCATCTCCCTCTATCCAATTTTTCAAGCCCATGCAGCACAGTTTGGCAGACGGCTGTTCATCATGAATCTGGTTCTGCTCGAGGTTTCTGCCTCTTAAAAGTTTTTTCTTGCCACTGTCACTTTGCCAGATGTTGCTTTGTGCTCATGATGGATTAATGTTTGGTCCTTATATGGATAATATAACAAAGAGTAAGGTCTTTTACCTGCTTTTTTTGTAACATCATATAACAAAGAGTAAGGACTTACATGTCCTTACTCTTTTTTTGTAAAGTGTCTTGAGATAACATTTGTTATGAATTGGCCCTATAAAAATAAAGACTGATTGACTGATTGATTAAAAACTGATGAGTCAAAGATCAACATGATGTTAAAGTTGTCATGAACATACTGTGTATGTACGCTGCGGCTGTGAGGGACAATAAGGAACTCAGGAATATTTCAGGGACAGGTTGTCAATTTTCAGGAGTGCATGTGTGAAAACAGCTGAGGTGATGGAATCTGTCAGCCAACAGCCTGTCAACACAACACTTCTGTGATGACAACTGTTCTCCATGTTACAGCTGTGTTTCTGCTACTTTAAAATCAAAACTTTACTGAATGGAAATGTGTTTTCAATATAGTGGGCCAACCCTTTTAGAATCTCTATGATCCAGCATAATAGCATATATCACAAGCAAATGTCCAACAGCTTTACAGCTCACTATGAGCGAGTAACCACCAAGTGCAGCATGCAGCTAAATGTAGTAGAAAAAGAAAACTCTAGGTTACATGGCCTACTTCTGACACCTGGTAGAGTCAACAGACAAAAAGCAGTTCAACCGAGAATCATTATCAATCACAAGTTGTTGAATGTTCATATTTTTTGACAAAATAAATGTATAGAAAAACTGGTACATGATTTTTACCGTCTCGTGAAACCAACATTTGTACAATTGCTTTTTTCAAGAGCTTTTCAGTTACTATATAATATGTTTAAACGGAACATGTTAATATGTTTTGAAGCATGATTTAATAATTCAATGTTAACACCTGAAACACTTTCAAATGTAAGACTGATTTGGCTAACTTTGACCAAGAAGTCTAAATGTTTGACTCCATTTTCTTTCCCTTTGTAGAAGGGGTTTCACATGACAAGCAACAGAAGAGCAAACACAACAAAACAGAGAGACACGCAGAGAGCACAGACTGCTGCC